TAGATCTCAAATCTGGCTACCACCAGATTGAGATGGCTGAAGGCGATGTCCACAAGACTGCCTTCAAGACCAGATATGGCACCTATGAGTACCTGGTCATGCCTTTCGGTCTTTGCAATGCCCCTGGCACATTCCAGACAGAGATGCATCGCATACTCAGGCCTTACCTGGACAGGTTTGCAGTTGTACACCTGGGTGATATCTTGGTATTCAGTCGATCTGTCGAGGAGCATGCGCAGCATCTGGCTCTGGTTCTCCAGGCACTACATGAGGCCCAGTATAAGATCAACAGGGAAAAGTCCTCCTTTGGAGTGACTTCTCTGACTTATCTGGGACATGTAATCTCTGGGAAGGGCTGGCTCCTGAAGCAACAAAGGACTGGCCACAGCCTACCACAGTGCGTGATGTCCGGTCATTCTTGGGTCTTGCATCATACTACAGAAAGTTCATTAAGAACTTTTCTGCTATTGCTGCACCCCTGACTGACCTTACAAAGAAAGACACCCACTTTCTTTGGACATCAAACTGTCAGCAGGCTTTTCACACGCCTAAAGGAGGCCTTGATGCGTGCACCTGTTATGAAGTTACCTGACCCTACCTTGCCCTTCGTACTAACTACTGATGCTAGCCAGTATGGGGTTGGGGCGGTACTTCAACAGGACGGTGGGCATGGTCTGCAGCCAGTTGAATACATGAGTAAGAAGATCAAAGTCAAGAAGCTGCAGGATTCCACGTACGAGAAAGAGCTATATGCTCTACTGTCAGTGCTAAAGCATTGGAAGCATTTCCTCATGGGCAGACACTTCCAGATCTATTCAGATCACTCCACTTTACAGTGGATGAAGACCCAAGGGGAACTGAATGACAAGCTAGCGCGATATATTCAGTTCATTGATTTGTTTGACTTTGAACTGAAACACAAGAAGGGTTGCTACAATCATGTAGCAGACGCCCTTTCTCGTAGGCCTGACGCTCTCTACATGATCTCCTTTACTCATACTTTTGGGGAGAGCACCCGTCAGACCATCGCCCAGCTATTGCCACAGGACCCGACTTTTGGCCCGATCGTTAGGAATCTGCAAATTGATCCTGCCTCTGAACCAGGACATATTCTGGTCTCACGTCTGCTGTACACTTGCAGCAGAGGAGAGGAACGTTTGTGTATCCCTCAAGACCGCCAGTTGAGAACACTCATGATGTCTGAGTGTCGTGATGCTCGCGGCCACTTTGGGGCCTTAAAGTCGTTGGCTGCCCTGTGGCAGCGGTTCTTCTGGCCAAAAATAAGGAAAGACATGCTGCACTATGTTGAAACCTGTGAGTTGTGCCAAAGGAACAAGGTCGTTCGCCGGCCTCCCCTTGGCCTGCTACAGCCACTTCCCATCTCTGATGCACCCGCACAATCAGTATCCATTGATTTTACTGATCTGGGGAGGACTACTCCTCGTGGTATGCGTCAGGTTATGGTGTGTGTTGACAAGTTTTCTAAGTATGCAGAGTTTATTCCTCTGCCAGAGGAAGCCAGCGTCCCGGTCGTACAGGCGGCCTTTGCTGACAGGTGGGTTCCTCACCATGGACCACCCACCTCTATTGTCAGTGATAGAAATCCACGATTTTGCAGCAATGAATGGCAGTCCTATTGCAAGGACTACCTTCATTCTAGACTGGATATGACATCTGGTCGTCATCCTGAAGCCAATGGGCAGGCTGAAGTGATGAACCAGATTCTTTTCCAGTTGATGTGTCTTGTGATCAGCCCTGATCAACAGGATTAGGATCTCCATCTAGGACAGGCACAGCTAGTGAGCCACAGCAGCCTCTCGATGACATCATCGATAAGGCTACCCCCAAACTGACTCCTGGGACTGCACAGTTCACCAGACAGTACCAGAGGGATATCGAACGAGCCAGAGTTAACCCGCTCAAATCCCAAAAGGCTATGATCCAACAGGCTAACAAGCATCGTCGACCGTCCCCTATCCACGCTGGTTACTGGGTCTGGGTACTCAGTTCTGAGTTATCGCGGGAGGAGGACATTTCACCCAAGCTGTTGCCGCGTTACATGGGTCCATGGCAGGTTTTAGACACAGTGGGAGTGGACCCTTTCGGGCCATCTTATCACGTGGATGTTCCACTGCATCTACAAACCTATCCTGTCTTTCATGCATCCAAGCTGTTGCCGTTTGTCCCAGCTCATGCATTTCCAGACAGGCCTCCTCAATTTGGTCCCCCGATCCCTGGTACAGGCCCGGATAAGGAGTACCTAGTGAAGTTTCTCTACCAGCCCCATACTGAGGATCGCTGGTTTACTCGCAAGGTGCTTCTGAAAACAGCGAAGTCAGTTATCCTCAAATATGAGGCTGCGCAGAAGGGAGAACCCCTTCGACACTCTGCACGCCTACGCCCCTAGCTCGGAGGTCCTCGATCAGGGGGAGGGTAGGTCTGCAATGACTTGCTGGTTCCGTGTTGCCTGTAGCCTCACTCTGACGAGGCTGTACCATAGTTAGGGACAGATTCATAATTTTGTCTGGTTGAGGACTAACCGAGAGACCTGCCTGTATGGAAAATTCCTGAGGGACATATCTGTAAATATAGAAATATGGGCCAGCGCTAATTCGATTTTCCTACAGCTACCCTAACTGTGAATAGCAGACCCGGGCTACCCCTAGGACAGACAGGCCCTCTAGGCCTACGCTGATAGACCGCCCTATAACCTATAGCCGGGTAGGGAGAGGCCCTAGAGGCCAAAACAGAAACGGTACCGGTCGGTCAGTCAGTCCGGTCTAGGTCGGTCTAGGCTAGAAGTAGAGTATAGATAGGATGGGGACATCGGTCGTGGGCTTTTGGCAGTTGATACTTCATGGTGGAAGTTGCTGCACATACGGTATCAGGTCGTGGTTGCTGATTCCGGTGGTTGAAGACGGCGGACATAGCCAGACCTTCGGAGCGCTGACCAGACTGGGGTCAACGCTGTCCGCTCTGACTCTCTGGGAGTCAAAGCGGTCTGGGCTATCAGGGGTCCGATGCGTTGGACCACGTGGTGCACTGCTGACCCTCCTCAGGAGTAGGGTCCCAGTGGCGATGTAGCCATAGCTGCATCTTCTAAGAGATATCATCGTCTGGACTTCATCTTCATCAGCGACTGTTGGCGCTGAGCTTCTTCTTCATCATCTGGGTGGCGATTGGCTCCGGGAGCCTGTTTCACTTTGGCGCAGGCCGCTGAGTTGGATGTCAGGGTGGCGCTGGGTATTACCTGGGGTTTTGGTGCTATTTTTAGCTGTTCCGGGTGGTGGGGTTGAGGCGCTACCCCTCTGAGGGTAGCGCAACAGGGATCTGAGGATATTCAGGGAAAACGATGCTCTGAGTTTAATAAACAGTTATAATACTGTGTTTGAGTTGTCATCTCTTCATTGATTTCTGGCTCTGATCACTCGGTTGTCTTCTATGAATGATTGTTGGGACCTGTGTGGAGAGAATTCACGGTTTGTGTGTTCTGTCACTTCGCTCCTCTGAGTCTTCCGCTGCGTTTCTTTCTGTTGGGCGGTGTGATAGTCCACTACCTCTCCCCTTCCTTCTGTGCATGTATGGGCGTGCATGGGAGTTTCTGTGCGTGAGTGTTGATAAAACGTCAACAGACAATCATGTTCATAACATCAGTGGGGGGTAGTGCCGCATCAAGGAAGCTCGGGGCAGAGCCAGGCATGGCGGTTGAGTAGGCAGCGGCATAGCTGCAGGGAGTTGACCTGGGGACAGAAGGGCAGCGACATAGCTGGTTTGGGTTGTCCTTTGGACAGGAGGGAGAGCCCTCAGTACTCCGCCATAGCCTTGGCTTGCATGTAGAGGAAGAGGAAGGGTGGCCATGGCTATGGTGGACCTCATGTTGTGCCTGCACTAGAAGTGGGATTCGGACATTGATTCTCGTTCAGCCATTCAACATTATTATTGTTATTTCTTGTTCGAATAAGAGGGGAGGAGATAAGGAGGAGGAGATTGGTTGGCGAAGAAGAAGAGCCTTGTTATTGGTCTATTCTGGAGTACATCATCATCTTCTTCTTTCTTACTTCCTTCTTCTTTCTTACTTCCTTCTTCTTCTTTTTTCCCTCTCTCTCCTCTCAAGTTCATTCATTTGTTTTTGCAATTGGACGGCATTGTACTTTCTGATGTTTGTATACTTCGAACTTGGCCAGGATCGTAACAGATTGTTTTAGGCTTTCTGTCTCATGACTTATTCTTTCAAGAAATGTATACTTTTCCAACTTCCCAGTTAATTCCAAGGTGTGCAGGCATCGCTGTTCATTTGACCGTACTCACAACACAGCTTGTCATGTCCCTCCAATGCTCGACCAGCTCCATTTTAGACTCCTGACATTTGGGACCTATTGCCCCAACACATTGTTTGCCACAGCATTCTCCGTGGCAAGACCATTCATCCCCCCGGCCATGGAGCATGGCCTCCTTCCACTGCGGCATCCATTTTCTGCCCGCCATTCAGACATCCATAACTGGGCCTCAGATGCCGAGTTGCACATCCAGGTTAGCATGAGGTCAGTCCCATATCCCATCACCAATCGAAAGGCTTACCCCTCCCTCTCTTATTACAGCTGTCAACCAGAACCCCTTTCCCTGCTGCCTCTGTTCAACCTTCAGTCGCCCCTGGCTTTCCCAAACAGTGCCTGACATGTCCACCACCTTCTGACAACTCTCTCTTGTTGGGGAGTAAGCACCACACCCAAAAGGACCTGACAAGGTAGTCGGCTTATTGTCTGGTCACTAATGAGAGACTCAAAATTGGCCAATTTAGCACATGGCCACTAATGGTGTGGCATGTCACACATTCAGATACCCAGCCTACTGAGCGAAGGGACGCCTCTATAGCCATTGCATGGGGGAGAGAAGAGAGAGGAGGCATGTGGGAGGAAAGGAAGGGGATGAGTGAAGTAAACTTTGAACAAATAACAAATGAAGAAAAGATGTACAGATGAACGGAAACATGTAGATCTGACCTGAAGCCTGGTTTTCACAACCCATAGCGGATTTGTCAAAAGTTGCGTAGTCGCACCCGCACCAGCTGCTGCCGTGACGTGCAATTGAATGGGTGAGCGCTTGTCATCCTGAAGTCGTCTTTTCAACTGCTCATACACAGTAAAATACACCTGCACATAAGGTACACCGGGTTGAAACACAGCATCAAAACCTTAAAACTCAAATAAAACCCCAAGAAATCTAACCTTCCCAACATCCTTCAAAATTTCTCACAGTGCCTGACTAAAACATGAACCTGGCATGCAACGCCCTCAAAAACCTACCCATTTTTCAGTATCCCTAAAACTACATATTCCCTCACTCCCTCGCCAACCCTCGTCCGCTCCCCTCTTTCCCCTCCCACCTCCCCAGTTACTCACCCCAGTCTTCTCTCTGATGCATGCTCATCTGAAGATGAGCGGTGCAGATGTCCAAGGAGCGCCAGTGTGATGAACAGGACTCAAAACAAAACGAGATAATGCAATGTAGCACAGCGGAAGACTCAAAGATATGACCTGACACATCAGATCCAGACTCGACTCACACAATCATCATCACACAGGTCACACAGCAAGGAGGGAAATCATACACAGAAGAAAGATTCCTCCTTGCGCACACACATGGGGAGAAACCACGGATGATGAAGGGGGAGCAGAGACGAAGATGGAGAGGGGAAAGAGGACAATAGTAGAACTCGTAGTCGTCCAAGAAATGTTCTTCCCGTCAAATGTCCAACCAATGTCTGTCCTCCGAAATGTCGAATCAGATCCTGGGCCTCATGGCCCGAAATCTCACTCTCTCTCTCTCTCTCTCTCTCTCTCTCTCTCTCTCTCTCTCTCTCTCTCTCTCTCTCTCTCTCTCTCTCTCTCTCTACCCCCTGCAGATAATGGGCATCCTGCTAAGGCTCATATCCGGGCAGAAGATAACTGAGATGGACTGTCAGCCTCTGTTTATGACATGACAGCTGAAGAAAACAGTTGCCGCTTCATCCACAGAACTCACCCACTGACACACATAGACACACCACAGCCCCCCATAGACACACAATAGCCCCCCAGATATGGTCGCAAACCGATGTGAACACATATGCATGCTTCCATGCACATGCACAAGCGCATAGTAGTGCATACCATGCTTGACAGCTACAAGAAGCACGGACTACCGTCCTCCCCCAAATAGAACGTACAGTCCTCATAGCTGTATCCGGGGCAACTTTCAGTCTAGGTATAGCTATAATGACTGCACATTCTATTCGCAGGAAGACCGTAATGTTTCACCAATAAGAGGAAGGAGATGGAATCGCTCTCCATGACAACAGTCATTCCCAAGCAAACCACACATGTTTTCCCAGTTCTGCATAGAATCTCACCGCCCAATTTGGAAGAAGAGCCAGGACAGTTGGGGACAACCCTCTGTATAGACCGCGAAATCCTTCTGTTCTCAGAATATCGCTCAAGTTCTCCACAATGACACCTGATCAATCCAGAGAAAACCAGATATACAAGCACAACGGCACAGGGAGGGGAAGAGAGAGAAAGGCATAGCACTGTCAGATGCAGTTCAGATGAAGTTCCAAACAAAAGTCTGCCAATCAATGTCGCAAAGTTGGACCAAAAGAAGGCAAGGCCATGACAGACAATGAGGTAGTGAGGTTAGGCTGCAGATATTCACTGTCCTTAGCCATTAGTTCTTCTGCTGGCCAATCTCCACAGGGCTGTACTAGTGCAACTAGCTATTACTTCTGCTGGTCAATCTCCGAAGGGCTGCAGTAGCCCCAGATTAGGGTAAGATCGATCAGCATTTAAACCCCACTACCTCTGAGACGCATATACTTTCGCAACCGGCTGTGCATCTGGCTAAATTTCACTTGCAGCTAGAAATGTAAGGTTCAGAACAGAAGGATATCGAGCTGTGGCAAGACCTGATCTGCCGCTGCAAACCTTGGGAATGATAAACTCCCACCATTCTGCACCACAGGTGGTTCATATGGCAGTCTGTTTTGTATCTGTTCATTGCCCTGCATTGATAGAAAGGTTCCATCACAGGTGTGAAAGCCCAGCAGGGCATGTGGTACCTGAGCAAAAGAGGGTGTGGAGAACGGTAACATCGGGGCCACACCACACAGTAAAGACAAATACTGTCCATGACAGCTTCCTGCAGGCACCGGGACGACTTAGCATCTTGTTGGCATTCCAGAGACAAAGCAGACAACCTCATTATTTAACCACCAGAACCCTCGCCAGCCTTCCTGTGCGCACCGCAGAGAAATCTGGACTCTCCGGAGGAAAAGGGCTAGTAACGCCAAGCAAATCACACAACACAATGACTCAGAATATCTACAGCCAGCTGAGCCAGGCAAAAAAGTGTGTGGGAAAGAAGAAGCTCCAGGATGCTGCTTGTTTAAACAAGGCATGTCAAGAGCGTGATGGATATTGTAAAGCTAATACATGGTTGAGGAGGATGAATGCAATACACAGGATTCAGTTCTCATGGCAGAGCTGTGTGGTGATCATCCATTCATCGTGGTTGAAGCAGAGATCGCATTGTGCACATTCACAGGGACAGTGCTGTGAAGAGGCCCCCTCACCAGTGCTGGAAGGGTCTGTCTGATCTGCACAGGCAGGTGCCACACCTTGCGTAGACGCAGGTCAAGGGGGAAGGACCGGCCAAATTATCTCGGCTAGGGAACATACTGTTCCTGATCAACAAGCCCAACTGAGCCGAACTCGGCCTGTCTGTGATGGTAAGGTGATGTGACAGAACATGAGGGCCCTTCAGCCATACCCCCACAGAGCCCATGAATAGTCCACGAAGATTACCGTGCGGAAGAGGCCCAGAAGATGTAGAACATATGGGCAGGTGTGTTGTAAGTTTCCACCACAACAGCCCCTATTCCACCTAGACAAGTAGATTCGAGTTGAATCAGCCCAACAGCTAAAGAATTCACCTCTTTAGCAAGCAACATGAATCATAATTGAAGCATTTTGAATTGTGTTTAGTTGGGGTTTCTTTGGGCAGGTGTGTGTGTATGTTGTCATTTCGCTATGCACAACTGCGCAGAAAAAGCACGACTCTGTGTGTCTGTGTGTGTTTGACGGTCATCACGACAGCCCCTGTGTATGTGTGTTTGACAGTCATTTCGACAACCCCTTTTCCACCCAGATGAGTAGATCTAAAGTTGAAACAGCTTGACCTTACAAATCTATCAACTAAACGAGCGCTCTCTGGGAAGCAAACGGAAAACACAGCAGACAACATGAAACACACTAAAACCATTGTTTACCTTTCCTGTCCAGTTCTTTCTTTTTTTCTTTTTTTTTTTTAAATAAACAGGTCCTTATGGTCCCGGCTCCATTTCCATTCTGGGGAGCATCAGTCCGGCTCCTATTCCACCGGCAAGTCAGAAAACAAAATTGCATCTTGAACACCCGCACGCTTCCTTCCGTCTGGCCGAAGGAACCCTGATCAGCATTGATTACTCCAGCATCATGGAGGATTGACTGTCAGCTTGCCCTGCTTCTCCCTTTCCTCTCAGGTCTACTGTAATAACCTGTCAGATAAACATGGATGGCAAGAAAGGCCTGGAAGCTACAAACACTGCCACTTCTGTCTAAACTCAGACTCTGCCCATGTGCTTCATGACATCCCTACCATTCTGATCCCTGTTTGCCTTGCTTGTCTAARCCCTGGCCCCTRATCCCTCAGCTGTAGTTATTCGCCAGAAGCTCTATRGAGCACCCTCGCCCTTCCTTCCGTCTGGACMGCATTGATGTTCATACATGTACTCATGTTCGYATGACCGAGCTATGTGGCGCTGAGGTCCTGAGGCTGTGGGATTTGACTGTCCTGTGCTCTCTGAAGTGGACAKGAGTTATGCCAGTCTTTCCACCTGAGGWGAWGACCTTGAATACACGCCACCTTTCCATKGACCAGCCATACTTTCGTGAATTTTGCCAGAATCTCATGCTGCTTCTCCTGATTTTCCTGAGCTTGAATCCTGACTTTTTTCCATTGGGAGAAGACTTCAGTCTCCATTAA